GAAAGTTTGCAACTCTGGCACTGAGCATCTTAGCATCTGCTGACCCTGCTCTGTGTCCTACCACTTTATGACTAACAGCTGACTGCGGAATATTTAGCAGTGAGGAAGTTTCACGACTGGACTTGTTGCACAGTATCATGATGGAATCCAATGAGCTTGTGAGAGCAAGCCAGCAGTCAGTAGAAGCAGATACATATATATATATATATATATGAGGTATATATATATATATATATATATATATATATATATATACCTCATATATACATTTGTGTGTGTGTGTGTGTGTGTGTGTGTGTAATACCATGGGTGTGTAGTAAAACAGTCCACCTCTGATCACCCACTGAAAATATCTGGATATATCTTTATCAGATAGATATATATTCAGATAGAATATAAAAAATACAACAAAGGTGGCCCTGAATTGTCTTGATGCATGTTCATTTATGCAGGTAGGGACATCCCACTGAGTTGATTCTGGTCATGGGGATGTAACGTTTCAGTGGGAAAAACATTGCATCACTCATCCAAGGGGAGAAAGTCACTTGGATGAGTGATGAAATCTTTCTTCTGAAATGTAACATCCCGATGACCAGAATTGACTTTCTGAGATGCTCCGAATTGTTAATTTACCAAAATCTTATATCACCCAAGAATGAAAATCTGTTTCACTTTCCAAACTAGGCCGACTGATTTCTCCAGTTCCCAGATGCAAAGGCATTTAACGGCGAGTGTTTCTACAAGAAGAAATGATGCAACACGGTGTTAAACCTGCTCCTGTCATTTTTAAATGTCTTGTTGCTAATTCGATCGATTCAGAATCCACCAGTAGTTTTTCAAAAATAATCAAATGAGCTTCGATGTCGAAGGTTTATGTGCAATTTTCAGGCAAAAATGGGGTTTAAACAATTTGCCGATTGCTGCGTTATCTTTTTAATTCCCCACCGTGTCCACAACTTTGGAAGCAATGTTGTAAAAGCAAAAATGGGGGAGGGGAGGAGGGGGGGGAGTGTAGTGAATAATGCATGCAGCTCTGAGAAACAGAGGCTTCACTTGTCATTTATTCAGGGAAAAGTTAACGCTCTACCTAGAAGCACAAGTGGAAAAAATGCTGTTGGAACAAAAGGACAGGCTGGCTGCAGTTTTACATGTTGTCTGCACTTCACACTTCTGCTGATCTGCAGAGGAGGAGAGACTTTTATCTCATAATGACGCAAATTATAAAACACCTAATTTTACAATCCTGCTGTACTTGTATACTAACAGCTCTTGTTCGTCATCCAAAAAGTGTTTTCTCACTGGATGTCATTTTATCTTTTTTCCTATGAAAAAAATCACTATGCATTTAACCAAACCCAGCTCATTACAACAAAAGACAACAGCCTGGAACTGTGATTTGCATATCTGTTAGATTAGTCTCTAATCTAATCTGTAATTATACCCACACTGACAATTAACCCATTCATTGAAGCCCAATCAAGTAGAACTGGATAGTGGAAACACATCATACCAAACTCGTGAGACTTCTCATGGTCAAACAAAATGAGCTGAGTGAAACTGAGACAGGAAACAAAGAAAGAAGAAGAAAGAAGATATTTCTGGGTGTGTGTGGCGTCTGTTCAGGTCACAGTATTAAAATAACATCAACTAGAAAGAGAATATGGCTCACGCTATGAGAGATTAGCTGATTTTTGAGGTGAAAAGAAGCAAATATAGCCTGTATAGCAGATGTTAAACATCGTCCTTTCTTCAAATATTTGTGCCTTCATTTAAGAAAAATAGTACATGGTGAGAACACCCTGTGTAACATGTTGAGATGTAACCACAGATTTTTAGCGATGTTCAAGTAGGGATGTGTGAGAGCTGTTATAAGTCTCTGCTTGCAGCAAAGGGAAAACCTATGGAAGCTTGTTATAAATGCTGACAACTTCGCACTCCACCCTTTCGTGTGTATAAGGTGACCTCTGACATCACAAAACCTGAAGCTTCAAAATGCCTGACGTCAAAGTGGCTACATCCATCTTTTGTAATATTTATGAAACTGCATGATATTTATCAGGAAAATTTGTTGCTATATCACTGCAATGTGCTTCTAATTGTTTCCAACCCCATAATTATTAATTGGCATCTTCATCTTTTCTCTCTGAGCAAACCTTTTAATTAAAATTGTCCACAAAAGTTGCTTCCAAAAAATTTTGCTTTACAGATTTCCGCATTTGATTTCCGTGATGAGGATGTAGGTAGCATTTCCCTCTCTGATGTTTGTGCATCAACCCTGCACAGTGGAATGATACAACGACGCTGCTGCGTCAGCTAAACCTTCGTACAGCTGCTTCACACTCACGGGTGGCTTCTATTTTCTGCCCAGCAGACGTGAAGTCTTCTTGTTCTTTCAAATCCACATTGTGACTTTCACATGCATTAATGGCATTTCAGGCAGTGGAAATTGCAGGCTGGAGGCACTTTGATATCTTTTTATAGCCAGTGGCCGCCGAGAAGCTGCATTTTTATATGGAAAGGTTACTGAGCGTTTCCGGGCTTTTCAGGTTTACAGAGTCAGAGAATTTATGAGCTCTTATCTGAAAGTATCTAATGCCAAATCTTGACCTGCCTTACGAATCTTAATGATTCAAAGTTTTAAGATGCTCAAAAAGTTAACACTATCCCTGCAAATGATGAAATATCCCATCAATCAGTGTTTCCACATTGTGTGATAGTGTTAAAAATCTCAATTTCTCGTCTTTCTTTATATATTCATAGTCAAATCCCTTTGGGGTTGCATCAGGAAGGGCATTGGGCATAAGAAAAATAATAATCTGCCAAAACAAACAGGTGGCGCTACCTGCAGTGGCGGACCTTTGCTAATAAGCAAACAAAAGTAACTATTCATGGAGAGGTCTTGAATGATTAGTAATTCACAAGTAAATTGCTAATAGTGAAGTAATATTTGAGAAAAAAGTACATCAAAAACATTTAATCCTTTTAAATCTTTGCATGCCAGCCAGTGTATGCGAAGGCTTTGGCAGATTACATGCTAATAAGTTGACTTTCTACATGCTGCATGATAAGAAGGCTGAGATCCACCGCCATGTGCTACAACACAATATAATCTGCTATTTATCATTCAATTTTTCCACTGTGTATTCTGATGATGAAAAGAAATACTGAATTTTATTGTGAAGGCTTGCCTTGCCTTGCTGCCATCCATGATCCAATGTGATAAGCACTGACACACCCTCTCCTTGTTTACATCCTTTTATACTGAGATGCCCTCCAGATAATCTACTGATTCAGGGCTATGAAGCATTTGTATTCTGCATACATTTGCATCTGCATACACATGTAGCTGTCATTATATGTTGGACTTATCCGGCGTTATGTGCACACTGTTTGCACACTAATCCAGTGCATTCTCTGCTTGCCATAAAAACCTGAAACCAGAGAGACGACCAGCAGCTCAGCAGCTCTTAAAGACGCTCATTTAGTGAAGATGCTTTCAGCCTCCTGCCTGTCTGAAGCAAAATATTAATCAAAACCCTGCAACCCCTTCACCAGTAATATGCTCTTATCAACGCGAGCCCGTGGATGCATTCAAACAAATTGCATTATTTATAAAAGAGTGCTCTCGTGTAAAGGCAACTACAATTCACTGCACCACATCTGCATATCTATCTTCCCAAATAACTCCATGATTCAAAAATCCCAGCAGATGAACTCCTGCAACACAGCCTTACTAAGTAACACGTGTCAAGAAGCATGAATTTTACAGCACAGGGAAATGACTGATGTGTTTCCATTATTAGCTCCACTAAATGCTGTCTTAGCTGCGCTCGTGTTAATAACACTTGCTTTGAAACTCTAATCAGACGCCCCTCTCTGCAGGTGGTAATGACAAGAAACAAAGGCATTTAAAATTGATGTGACAAACCCAATACGTAGTATAAAGGCACATCTGTTTTGAAATCCGCCCGGGCTCTCCTCATTATCCTTCATAACACCGTGTGAAGAATCGCTATGCATGTAAGGCCGAGCGAAGGCATCAAAGGCGTTGACTAAGTTCTCGCTGCATGACTCCATGAGGAGAAATACCAGGCCAGTTATGGGAGGATGCAGCTGACACTTTGATTGTGGAGACAAGTCGATCTCTGCTCTATTTTTCCTCTTTGGAGAAATATGTATTCTGACCATGTTCGTTACATAATAAGATATCACTAGAGCATGCTTTATAAGCAGCGCTCCAAGGTTGTGTTCGGTGTGTCTGCACCCCTGAAAATCTTGATAGATTCCCTTTTTAATAATTTAGCTATCAGTCTGAACTATGAGAGCTCCTCAAATAGTGTCTCACCCTGACAAATTCAGTTTCAATCATACTGTGAATAACACTGTGCTGCAAAGTATGCATTCAGATCTGCTACTTAAGACTGCAGAAATTACTAAAAACATACAGAAATATTAGCCAGCACACCTGGTCTGTAAAGAAAGCTGTCAGTTTCCAGTTTCTCTTTGTGTTCAAGTACCTTTAAAGCGCTCTTTTAGCAAAGTGTAACTCTCAACACAGCTGAGCCACAGTCCCGGGTTAATCCCGCATGCTGTCCAAAAAGCTTTTGAAGCCACCTCCTTATAACACAGTGCTGCACAAGTTAATCCTTGCTCAGAAACTTGGGCAGCACCACAATGACAGTCACACAGTTTGTCAAGGATGGAAAAAAAGGAAAAATATAAGATTGCTTCTTTCCTTTAACATCACCGTAACGTGTGAAAACACAGTTTTGTTTTCCTGTCATCTCTTTGAAAACTCTCTGCTTTGTGCAAGATTTAAGCTGCGATAATGCAATCTCATTGATGCGTTAAGAATGAATTAATCATGATTAAACAGATGAATTAAAACAGCAGTAAGACTCAGGATGCGATTGTGTGGAATTGCTGAGGGTGGATGTAAGGCATGCATGTGATTAAAGATTTTTTTTGGGGGGGGGGGATATGGAGAGAGTGAAACTCACTGGCTTGCATGAGTTGTCCCTGGCGTCCAAACACCTGGGAGAAAGTGGCATGGCTGCAGGTGAGGGTGTCCTCCATGGCTGTCCCACTGGCACACGCTGCTGAGGAGAAAGAGAGTGGGGGGAGAGAATGGGGAAAGGGAAGGTCAGCATCACTGCGTCACATTCAGATGGGAAAAAGAAGGAAAATGAATGAGGAGAACAAGAGACAAGGGCTTGCCTTCAGTTGGAGCAGCTGCTGACTGATCTCTGGTGGTGACTGCTCTTCTCTGGACCCGTCCTGTGTTGTTGTTGCTGCTGCTGCTGCTGCTGCTAAGGAGCAAAATGCAGCCCCTCGCTGCTCGCACCAAAATGAGCAGAACTGCTCGCCGCACAGATAATAATGGGAGGGGGGAGTGTATGTGTGTGTGTGTGCCTGCCTGCCTGCCAGCCTGCTTGTCAGCATGTAAGTGTTCGCGCGCGCGAGAAAGTTCTGTGAATGTGTGCATGTGGGGCGAGAGAGCGATTGCAGGGTGGTAAAGCAGGTAACGCAGAGCTGTAGGCACACTTGCTCTGCCAGCACTCTGATCTTGTGCTTCGTCTGTACGGGCTGACAGTCCTCTGCGGCTCCAGACAGGCTGGATAGAAGAGAGGGGTGGCGAGGGGTGAGTGCAGCTTCTACATCAGGTAAAAGTCAATCCTCCCTCTTCCCCTCTCACTCTCAGCTTAAGTAGATAGCAGCGTCTGTCCTCTGGGCATAGGACAGGACTGTTGTTTTCTGATCTGCGTGAGTGTGCCCCCTTTTCACTCCTCCTACCCCTCCTCTCCTCTCTTCTCTACAGCCCTCATTTGCTGCGCCTCAGCAGTAACATTTCTCCTGTTCTCTCTCACATGTCTTACTAACTCTCCACCCCGCCCCATGCAAATCCCCTCGATCCATCTTAAAGCTCGGGCCGCTGCTGGGAAACAGATTCTAGCAAACTCGAGTGCTTCATCTTCCCCCGGTGCTGAGGGAGAAGAAAGAAAAAAAAAAGGAGGATGAGAAAGTGGAGAGGTTGTATAAAAAGTGAAAAGTAGGGCTGGTAGGGCTGGTACAGTTTCCAGAGGCTTCATCTTGAAAAGGAATTGGAGAAAACTGCTGAGTATAAAATAAAAATCAGCTCCTACTCCACCGAAAATATAACTCCTGTAAACTTACACTTGCCTCGATGTGTAGTGCAGCAGCTCTGGTGGAGAAGTGAAAAATGACGCTGTCTGAAATCTTCACGCCACAGCAAAGGGCTAAATGAAGGTGTTGTAATAAATATTAACAACACCACAGGAACAAAATGAACATATGTTACGAGATCTTAAAATACCCTCCCAGACCTTGGAGGCACAGTTGTATTGTACCCAGTGTGCAGCGGTTGGCATGGAGACCTCCACCACAGACGAGACCAGCACAGTGGTTCCAGCACATTATCGCACATAGGCCATTTTTGCAATGTCTAACCTCTCTGCAGCCTGTAAACCGGTGTTAAGCAGCCAATTTCCTCCCAGGCACAGGGGGAAAAAAATCAACTTTGCCAGGAAGCAGCATTGTCATGGAGCCATCTCTCACGCCATTGCTCTGCAAGGAGAGCTCACCGGGGACCTGACCACAGCACTCACATCCTCACATCACATCCTCCTGTTTTGAAAGGAAATGACAGGAGACTCAGTAGACTGCAGTGGGCTGGTTTAAGCAGGTGCTTCTGCAAGTAAAAAAAAGTAAAAGAAGAAGAAGAAAGTGTCCTGCAATGAAAGCCTGTAAGGAAGTGATAGTAAGTTTGTAGGTTGGAAAAGGGTTAGGTAGCTGCAAACAGCATGTGGCCGCGTGCAAACCCAACTAAAAAACTGCAAAATGCTGAGGTCAAAGTGAAGCCTGGCATTTCATAAACAGTGAGAATACGCCAGGCACGCCTTCACTTTCAAGTCAGAGAGACTAATGCCCTGCAGAATACATCTCATATCATCCACCTTCATCAGCTTTAATGCTATTCTCTTTGAACAGGAAATAGAGGCATAGTGAGGTTTTTTAGGAGGCTGTAAATCATTGTGTATGAGCAGCTGTCATTCCCTTCCACTATCTATCCTGTTACTGGCAATTTTCTTTCTCCTGGGGACAAATAAGTGTATATTTTATTTTAATCCAGTCTAATCCAGATTTGTAATGTTCAACTATATGTTGTGGTAGATAAAGAAGTAAACATCTTGCATTAGTGAAGCTTGATCTTATTACTTTAAAGCTATTTAATTTATTAAAACTTATTAGCTTTAGGATATCATTAATGAAAATAATTACCAGCTCACATGAACATTAAAATAATCAGAATATCAATCTGTCCACGCTCTGAGCCACAGATGTTTATTTTTAGCATTAATGTTTGCCTTACAGGAAGCGCTTTGGCAAAGTTATTGCCTTTTGTGTGTGTGTGTGTGTGTGTGTGTGTGTGTACGTGCAATGGAAGTTTGCATCTTTTCAGACTTGCTCTTATCTCTTTGACATTTTCAGCCGTGCTAGTGGGACTGCGGTTTGCTCGCGTCAGCATGTTGTTCGATCCATCCGCCACGCTGGTCCAGGCTGAAATATTTGCACAGACGTTTATGCCTCCCTCAGGGGGAATCTCCGACTCTCCCAGCATTAAGTCAAAATTTCAAACTCTTCCCAGCGCAACAATAACAACATTCCTACCACTGCACTGACAGCTGAATCGTAGCATGTCATGACACTCAGCTAAGACTGCAGAGCACAAAGACTTGTATATTTAAGCAAATATTACACTTGCTTATCTCATAGCTCATATGTCTTTTGATCAGCAGGAAGGGGGCTAACTTTTCATAACTTGACTCTGTTGCTCTCCATCGGCGTCTCCACACAAAAACATCTCCTCACAACTCCAGATTGTAGTTTTCACTGATAACCATACCAACTAGAATAGGTCAACCTGGAATATATTTATCAAGATGTGAACTGAAATATTGTATTTTATTTGATGCTGATGCCATTTATTTATTTATTTGAAATTAAATGCTTGTCCTGAATTGTATGCATGGTGTAATTGAGAGGTTGAGATGGGTAATCGCTCCACTCTTTTACATCTTAAATCTGCCTCTCTGGAATGTCGTAGTTTATTTTGTCAAGTCAGGCACAGTACTGCATGGAATTGCATTTTTATGAATAGGGCTGAAGCACCGTACACAGCAATCAAGAGAGAGTGCAGCGATATTTCACCCTGACAGCATGAGTATGGTGCGGCGCTCCTCCAAGTGCCCACCCCTCCACACACACATACACACACTCACATAAACTACATTCAGCCATAAAGTATACCATCATGGCTCTGGGGCAAATAAACACGTCTCCACATCCCTCTGAATAAAGGGATGCAGCCTGTGGATCAAATCCAACAAACAGATTACATTTAATTCATAATCTCATCCATCAGAATGTCTTCTGTGAGGATCTGGTCCACGCCACAGTGCTCTGGTGAAGATTTGGAGCGCACTCTCCATTGGCCGGCATTGATAGTTCATTAGGTTTTTAGGTACTGGGGTACATAAGTGAGACGGATGAGGTCTGTCAAAAAATGAGCTCATCAGACGCACACAAGCCAGATGAGACCTTGAAAGATATTCATAGCTACGCATCCATCCCGAGAGGTTCTGAGAAGCTTTGATTTCAGAGATATTTTTCTGCATACATTGGCTGTAACAAGTGGTTATGTGAGTTACCACTGTCATCTTCACAGCTTGAAGCAGTCTGGCCATTCTCCTTCAACCTTTGACATCAACAAGCAATTTTCACCCAAAAAACTGCCGCTCACTTGACATCTCCTCTTTGTTGGATCACTCTCTGTAAACCCCAGAGATGGTTGTGTGGGAAAAAATCCCAGCAGTTTCTGAAAGACTCACACCAGCTCATCTGACACCAACAACCACAGCACACTCAAAGCCACTTAAATCACCTTCAGCTCCATTCTCATGCTCAGTTTGAACTTCAGCAGGTCATCTTAACCACGTCTGTGTGCCTAAATGCACTGAGTCGCTGCCCTGTGATTGGCTGATTAAATATTTGTTTACTTATTGCGATAATTATTGCCATGTAACAGACATTATTGGTAAATAAGAAGCAGCGGTGTGCGAGTGACAGAAATATCACAAATATGCACAACACTGAATTATTCATCATAGTTCGTGTGCACACTAGTTTTGTTTCACTGCCCATGCATGAGCCCTGCAAGGATTTATGACTGTTACTTATCAGTGACCATTCAGAATATATAAATGCACACCTGGATGGAGGACGGTCAAACCTGACTTAAATTACACTACACTTTATATTTTATAGGATTAAGTTCTAAACTAATTATTTTCAAAGTCCATAAACAAAACAGCCATATCTGATGCGTACTGTGTCCAATAGGGCTTTGACTCATATATCTGTTACACAATTTGCTTCCCATTTCTATTCTGACCCACACCACAGAGGCAAGAGTTTAAGGTAATGCACGACTCACATATCAGCCACCTGACTAGCAAACTGCTCCCAAAATAGATACAAATCTTGCAGGAACCAGTTGACGGGGTCCCCGGGTCCCCTGTCCCAGTCGTAGTCTGCCAACCCGTGAAGCAAAGGTGGCGACGTCACATGATTTATGCAAGATTTCTTACCTTCTATCAAAGTCAAATACAATGAAAACTAAAATTCATTTTTCATAATTGGGTGAAGTCCCTGCCAAACTCTAAGTGGAGAAGCTAATCGGTAAATGTAATGTGAAAGACTTTATTACAGCTCCAATGGCAGGGACATCTATTATGTTTGAAAAAAAAAGAAAGAAAAAGGTCTCAGTATATAAAAGGAGTCAGACCTGCTTATGAGTTCAGTTAATCAATCCTTTCTGTCTACATTCACCAATTGATTTTTCATATCAGTACGATACCATGATAATGCACAAGTACATATTTTAAATCAAGCCCAGTGCTGCCAATAACAACAAAAACAATTCCCAGTCCTCTCTATGCCCAAATCTCAAAAATCTGCGTATAACTGAGAGTCCCACAAGCAAAAGAACAAATAAAGCTTTACACAAATTGA